ATGAAACTATAGGAAGAATGTGCCTTTTCGATAATTCACGGGGATCAGTACGAATGCCTTGATTTGATAGCGAAGACACCCGAGGATGCGAAAATCTGGATAACAGGCCTAGTGTCCCTAACATCATCCAGTCGTGCTGGTAAGTTTCAGCATTTATTAGTAGTCATTAGCAATCAGTACTGAATTCGTAAACTGAGAAACTGCTGAAAATCACTCACGTGCTTTTCACCAAGAATAAAGTTAACCTTTTAATAAACTTGACCTTTTAAGAATAAAGTTAATTAATGATGAAGTTAATCTTTTAGTAAGTCTGCTGTAATTAGGCTTGAATGGTAGTTAGCTGATGAATTTGACAGAACTGCATTGCAGGCATCTGTGAATCAGTGCCCTCAGGCTCCCAGCCACTTGCAACGCTCCGAGAAAGGTCATAGTTTATTTTCATAATTCAGCTTCAAGATCATAGTTCAAGGTGACGGTTCTTTTTTCTCTAGATTTCTTGAGATTTTTTTTTTGTCATTTTACTACATTTCGGAAACTGTTTTAAACCAAATTGATTTTGTTGAGCTTGCCAAAAGAGAATTTTTTCGTACTGCGTTTTGTAAGATACTAGAATCTACAAGAACAGTTCAGGTGGCTGGAATCAGTGTTTGATGAAGCGGATCCAGACAAGCTTGGCTGCATTCTGGAGAATCAGGCTGTGCAGCTTATCAAACAGCTTAACTCTCGAATTTTGCTCAGTAGGGTGAAACACAAAGTGAAGGTTCGTCTGACTTAGATTGAAGTACTTTTCTAAGCAAAATCAACTTATCATTTTATTCTAATGCTCATTCGAATTCTGGGTTTTTCAGGAAGCATGCATTTTGAATCCGGAAGAATCGCAGCGCGGAAAAGTAACTCGCTCGCAATTTGTGGATATCTACAGGGTAGCATCAATAATGCTCAATTTTTTTTTAGATTTTTATTCCTCATTTTAAACGCTTTTGCAGCTGTTGTGTAATTTTAAAATGCGGAGCACTTCGGGCCGTTCGTGATTATTCCTTGTGATTGGACTAGCTATTTTTATGAGCACGTTACTCGGCTCTGCTTGTACTTCTCTGTCCTCCTCCTTCTCTCCTCCCCCCTTCTTCCCTCCTCTTATAAGGATTACTGTTAAGAACTCATGGAATTATACCTTTTTCAGCTAAAGTTATTCAAACACTGCTTGGACATCCCCTATTATCCAGTATTACTACATTTTTCGTAGGAAAAATGAAATATTTTCAGGACGTTGCGACAAGGCCTGAAATATATTTCCTGATGGTGCAGTATGCCAATAAGGACTACCTAAGTTGCAAAGATCTTCAAGTATTTCTGGAAACCGAACAAGGGGTTATTCACTTTGAACTTCACCGAAAAATCTCAGTTTCCTAAGTATAACCAGGATTTTTCGATCGAAAGAAGCAATTTAGCGAAAAAGAGCGTGGAAAAGTGAGGACAAATGCATTGCTGATTTAATAATCTTCTGATGAGTTCTGCAGCTTACCCGAGCACGTACTCAAGAAGCCGTTAAGTTATCGCGCGTTATTAATAAAAAAAACTTTCAAAGCATTATGCATTTTTGCATCTTTTTGCAATTGCAAAAACGCATACTGTCACCCAAATTCAACTCAGCAACTGCAGAAGCTAGGAAGCTGGAATTTCGCAAGGTCGTTCCTAGATTACTTGCCATACAGGCGGCTTAAAATTAGCATTCACGTATGCCTAGGTTTAACACTGCTATCAAGCACGGTGTATTGGGATGCAATGCTTTCCTGCTACAGGGTAGACTGTTCAGCTTTGCCACTGACACAGTTAATTCCTCTAAGAGTTTATACACTCGCTGTAGTGATAGCTGGTACCAGTAAATGCTAATAAGTTACCATAAGCTTTCTTCTACGCATTCCTGAAAAGAGTTATCATCGAGGCAATTTTGCTAACGATCGGTTCCTATCGGATACCAAAACCGCCCGGATTACATCGGGATGAGTTACTTCGCTTCTAAAAAAACAAAAAAATCATGAACATTTTTGGTCTTATTAAAATTCCAATGCACTTTCGTTGTACATGTCCTTAGAACAGCATTCCTGTGTATCAGCATTTATACAAAAACTGAAAATTGTCAGTCATATTTTTCACGGAACTTTGCTAAATTTTAATAATTAATAGGCAGTTAAAGTTTCTCATTCATGAAATAAAAACAACGATAAAACTGAGCAGCTAAAAAACTAAAATTTGTGCTGTTTCAGCAGTAAAATCCAAACAACGAA